TAAAATTTAAAAGTGTTAGATTTTTTACAAAGTTATATCCAAAAGTTCTGAGTTTGGCTACAACATTTAACCTAAGAATAATATTTATAATATTAATAACAACATTAAACTTACATGACCCAAGTTTAAAAGGATTTGACTGCAATATCAGACTCAATAGCCTTTGATGTAGGTTTGGCTACAGGGTGTTTTTTTCTTCTTCTTCTTCATTCATTCTTTTTTCTAGTGTCATGCTTGTGCAATGATGCGGTCTTGTAGAAAATTTATATGTTGTTGGTTTGTGGAAAAAATTAAAAAAATTATATGTAGAAAAACTATTGCAATCCATAATATTTTCTAACTTATTTTTTACTACACTACTAAATATTAGAAAATAATTCACTTTTTTATAATTTATTTTTTTATAATTTATTTTCTTAAAAAAACTACTTTCTAATAAATAAATAAGGTTTATTAGTTTATTAGTGATTGTTTTAATTTTTAAAGGTTGAGATTGAGATCGGATAAAATCTGTCGACCTTTTCAAAGCAAACACACTTTAAAACGCACGTGAAGATAGCGGTGAGGGAAAACGAAGGGGTTGAGTTCTCGAAGAAGAAAAAAAAGGTTGAATAATATGAATATTAATTATCATTGCGATGACAAAACAAATATTCCGTGACATGATATTTTCGTTGGCATTTTTTAGTTTTTTATTTTATTTTTTTTATTTTGGTAGTGATGTAACCTTTTCCTTCATATTTATTATTTATGTTCTAATTTTTCTTCGGACAGTTCGTTGTCATCTCTCTTTCTTACCTAATTGCATCCCATGACAAGACAAGTTTTAGCGTTTTTCCAGTCAAATATTGTTTATCACGAGCATGTTTATTTTTTTTATTTTTATATTATTTTTATAAAAAATTATTTTTTATCTTTTTAATATATTAAAGTAAAAATAAATTTTAAAAAATATTATTTTAATATATTCTCAATTAAAAAATACTTTAAAAAAATAACTATTATTTCTAAAATACTAGGATTTAAATACAATGACACAAGGTTGCATGAAGAGGGATACTTGCATTTAGGTATGTTTTAAATCCAAGAGCTTTGGATTGAAAGGATATTTAGGACTTCATATTTTTTTTTTAATGAATTTTTACTTAAGTATTGTTCATAACTAAAAATAATATTTTAAATGAATATATAAAAATAATATTTTAATTTTTTATATTAATATATAAAAAATAATTTGGAGTGAAAAATAAAATAAAAATTTTATTTATTTATTTATTAAAATACAAAAGCATTGATAAGTAATTTCTTTAACTTGATATTGCACAGCGATTATTCAAAAATAAGATGTTAAGTAACATTGAAGCTTGGTAAGTCTTTGTCACCAGACTTGTATGCAACTAGTTACATAACTTGCATAATATAGCAAGTCAATTTTTGTATATAAAAAATATTAAAAAAGTTAAAATTTAAAAGTGTTAGATTTTTTGTAAAGTTATACCTAAAAGTTCTGAATTTGACTGCAACATTTGATCTAAGAATAATATTTATAATATCAATAATAACATTAAGCTTGCATGACCCAAGTTTAAAAGAATTTGACTGTAATATCAACTCAATAGCCTTCGATATAGGTCTAGTTACAAGGTGTTTTCTTCTTCTTCTTCTTCATTCATTCTTTTTTCTAGTGTCATGCTTGTGCAATGATGCGGACTTGTAGCATATTTATATGTTGTTGGTTTGTGGAAAAAATTAAAAAAATTATATGTAGAAAAACTATTGCAATCCATAATATTTTTAAAGAAAAAGCTAAAAAGCTAAATTCTCAACCATATTAATATTTAAAAAATTAAATGAACAGAGAAAATTTTAAAAAAAAATTTAAAAAAACTAAAAGGGAAAAAAAACATATAGGAGAACACTGTAGCAATCTATAGTGTTTCATGAGAAAATCTACATTTATAATTCTTAACCAGCACAATATTAAAAATAATAAAATCGATAAAGATAATTTTAAAAAAATTATAATAAAAAAAACTATAGAGGAACTCTATAGCAATCCATTGTGTTTTTTTAAAAAAAGCTATGAAGCTAAATTTTCAACCAGCTAAATATGAAAAACATAGAATTGACAAAGACTGTTATAGGAAAAAAATCACAAACAAAAGGAAAAAAACTACATGGAGAAACACCATAGCAATCCACATTTAAAAAAAAAAAACTATAAAGCTAAATTCTCAACCAACAATTTATGAAAATATTGTAACAATCTACAGTGTTTTAAAGAAAAAAACTACAAAGCAAAATCGACAAAGATCATTTTTTTAAAAAAAAATCATTAAAAAAAAACCATATAGGGAAATATTGTAGTAATTCATAAGTTTTTCTTTAAAAAACTAATGAAGAAAACGAGCAAAGTTTTGAAAGAACCTGGTAAACCTTTTAAAGTATGTTAACCCGTCAAACCTTAGATTTGTGCTGTGAAAGTTTGATAACTAAATAGAAAAAAAAATTGACAGGTTACTCATAATTAACTAGACTAACCCGTCAAACCTAGAATCCATGATATGAAAGTTTGATAATTAAATTAAAAAATAAATTTTAACAAACTAAATTAAATAAAAAAATTAATTAAAAAAACAAAAACAAATGAAAGACATCAGTCTTTTCACTGTAGACTGCACTGTGCAGTCCACAGTCAAAGGCATACAAACTAAAAAAAAGCAAAAAGATTTTTTTTCCCCTTTAATTAGCCAAACCTAAGACAACTAACTAAAAAGAGACATCAATCAATAACTAAATAGAAATTTTTTTCATATTAATGAACAAATTAAATAAAAAAAATGAATTCAAAAGAAAAAATAACATAAAAAACTTATAAGAAAAAAAATTAATGAAGAAAAAGAAAAAAAATCTAAATTAACTAGGTTAACTTATCAAATCTAAGATCCGTATTATGAAAGCTTAATAACTAAATAGAAAAATATTTAATATCAATAAACTAAATAAAAAAATAATTAAAAAGAAAAAAAGCATTAGCCTTTTCACCGTGGATTGCACTATATAATCTATAGTAAAGGACATAAAAAGAAAAGAAAATAAAAAATAAAATCAAAAGAAAAAAACTAACGAGGAAAAAGAAAAAAATCTGAATCAACTATGTCAACCCACCAAATCAGGTTAACCCATCAAACCTAGGATTCATGTCATGAAAGTGTGATAACTAAATAGAAAAAAAATATTAAATATTAATGAACTAAATTAGAAACAAAAAGATTAATTAAAAAAAAAAAAACACATAAAAAAAAACTACAGGAAGAGAAAAACTGATGAAAAAAAGAAAAAAACTGAATCAATTAGGTTAAACTATCAAAACTGAAATCTGTATTCATGAAAGTATGATAATTAAACATAAAAAATTTAATATTAAGAAACTATAAACACAAAAATAAACTAAATGCGTAAGCTTTTTCACCATAGATTACACCGTGCAGTTCAGAGTATAAGTCTTAAAAAGAAAAAAAAGGAGGACAAAAAACAAAGGCATACACCATGCATTAATTTTTTTCTTGCATAAAAAATATATAAAAAAATTAAGATCTAAGAGTGTTAGGTTTTTTTGCAAATATATACCCAAAAAGTTTTAGGTTTAGCTGTAAAGCTTGATCTAAAAGTAATATTTATAATATTAACAATACTATTAAATTTACACGACTTAAGTTTAAGTAAGTCTAGTTGTAAAACTAGACCCAATAACATTTAATGTTGGTCTAATCCGTCAAGACCGATATACGTATCATAAAAATCTGATAATTAAATAGAACGAAATTTAACATTAACAAACTAAACTCAACGAAAAAAATTAATTAAAAAGAAACAAATTCTGTGTTAACCCATCAAACCAAGTTAACCCATCAAACCCGAGATCTGTGTCATGAAAATATAATAACTAAATAAAAAAATTTAATATTAACAAAATAAATTAAACAAAAAAATTCATGAAGATAAAAATTAAAAAAAACAGCTATAATACTTTTAGGATATTTATAATATAATATAATATAAATATAATTATAATAATTATAATATATTAATAATAA